TGGCTTCTTCAATAGTTGACTGAGCTGAATGCGCTGATCTGGTTAAGTATTGCAAGACAGTATCTAAAATTGTATGCTGTTAGATTATAGGGGAAACAAAGTGATTTTATTAGATTTGGAGGAGAATAGTACATGGCTTAGTGTAGGCTAATTGGCCTTCTACACTTAGCATATTGGCTTATTGGCCACAACACTTGGTTTAGATTAGTTCGGGCTATTTGGCCCTTCACTTAGATTAGTTTGGGCTATTTGACCCTTCCACTTTGATTAATGAGCTTATTGGCTCTCAACATAGTTAGCATTAGGTAGCCCTTGGCTCCCTAATGGTTTGGGAGTTCTTTGTTAGACTCCACTTTGTATGAGTATAAGCATGCCTATTTATAGGCTTTGATTGCCGCCACTACCCAAGTCTCACCGACTTGGACAATCTCTCCTAGCCACATATGTTTGGCTTTGTCTAGAATAATCTTCAATCTTCATTGCCGGCATCACCAAGTGGACTTGGTCTCTTACTCCAGCCACAACTATATGGTTTTATCTAGAATATTCCACCATATTCATTTTGCTTTGCTGCCGTGCAACTTCTTTATTGTGAGCTCTTGAATTCTCTAGATCCTTCTTGAAATCTTAAGCACAAATGTGCATTATTTTCAACTTCTGCAAATTTCTTATGTGCAGCCAAATGGATACCAAAACCAAGCCAAGGCTGGTGCTTTCAGTTGTTTTGTCATGCCTGTATCTCAAAGTCCATATTTCCCTTGCAGCTTACACCATCAGTGGAAACCAATCTCTATCTGGTGATCAAACCATTGTCTCTGCAGGTGGGGTTTTTGAGCTGGGTTTTTTCAAACTACTACATAGGCATGTGGTACTCCAAACAAGTAGTATCTGATGAGCAGACCATAGTGTGGGTAGCAAATAGGGAACAACCAGTCTCTGATAGTTTTTCTTCGGTCTTGAGAATCTCAGATGGTAATTTGGTTCTCTTCAACGAGTCGCAAAGTCCAGTTTGGTCAACAAATTTGACCATCACCACCACCACAGGTTGTATAGAAGCAGTTCTTTTGGATACTGGAAACCTTGTCTTATTAAGAGCTGGTGGTGGGTGTAGTACTAGTACTACATCAGAGCCTTTATGGCAAAGCCTTGATCATCCAACCCATACATGGCTACCAGGAGGTAGAATTGGGTTCAACAACATTACCAAACAAAGCCAAATTCTCACTTCATGGAAGAATTCAGAGGATCCCGCACCAGGTCTTTTCTCTCTTGAGCTAGACCCAAATGGAAGCAACTCATATATCATACTGTGGAATAGGTCTAGACAGTATTGGACCAGCGGATCATGGAATGAAAGTTCACATATGTTCAGCTTGGTTCCTGAGATGAGGGTTAATTACACCTACAATTACAGCTATATTACAAACGAAAACGAAAGTTATTTCACCTACTCTCTTTATGATCCTAAGATAATGTCTATATTCGTGATGCATACCTCGGGGAAGATTCAGAAACTAACATGGTTGGAGACTTCCAGGCAATGGAATTTGTTTTGGTCTCAACCAAGAAAACAATGTGCAGTTCATGCATTTTGCGGGGCATTTGGGAGTTGCAATGATAAATCCGGGCTCTTCTGTAATTGTTTGATGGGTTTTGAGCCAACTTCGCCGACGGATTGGGTTTTGCAGGATTACTCTGATGGGTGTTCAAGAAAAACCAGTTTGCAGTGTGGGAATTCTATGAGTGTTAATGGAACTGAAGACTGGTTTCTAGGAGTGCAAACCATGTCAATGCCTGAAAATAACCAGTCTGTGGAGGTTGGGAGTATTGAGAAATGTGGATCAATCTGCTTAAGTAACTGCTCTTGCACTGCTTATGCTTATGACAGCAATACCGGATGTTCAATTTGGACTGGAGATCTCTTGGGTGTGCAAGAACATGCAGCAGATGGTGGTGATGGAAGAACTTTATACATTAGACTTGCAGCTTCTGAGTTTATGTATCTTAAAAGTACTGTGCAAATGATTGTTGGTATTGTTGTAAGTGATTATTACCTCGAGAGCCATCATTGTAATTGGTTAATTGCATATTTTTGTTTTGTTTGCAGGTGTTAACGGTCATACCGATAAACGCTCCCTTATAATTGCAATTGTCTCAGCAACGGCAGGATTGCTTATAATGAACTTTGGCAATTTCGTATGGAAGAAAACATTGGGAAAGGGAAGGTACTGCTACCACTCTGCCTCATCTCTCTTTCTCTCTTTCTCTGTCACATGTGCAAGCACACGGATTCTAGTAATTCAAAGTTTCAAACAAACGATGCTCTAACACTAAGACTGAAACATCAGGGAGCATTGGTGGAAGAATGGTGATACTAAAGTAAATTATGGTGCTGGAGGTGGAAAGGATGATACAGAAGTACCACTATTCAGTTTAAGGAGTATATTAGCTGCAACAAACAACTTCTCCGAAGCTAATAAACTGGGAGAGGGAGGATTTGGCCCTGTTTATAAGGTGACACTTCCACTATGTAATGCAATATAGTACATTAATTGTTCTTCATAAACATGACACCTTCTTTAGTACTTCTCTTAATACCATTTTCCCTAACTATGTTTGATTGATAAGGTGGTGGTTCTCTTTATGGGATTTTCTTTCCTTTGCAGGGCATTTTACCTGAGAATCAAGAAGTAGCCATAAAAAGGCTGTCAAAGAAGTCAGGGCAAGGACATCAGGAGTTCATGAATGAGTTAAAGCTTATAGCCAAGCTCCAACATACCAATCTGGTTAGACTCTTGGGTTGCTGTATTGAAGAAGAGGAAATGATATTGATCTATGAGTTCATGCCCAATCGAAGTTTAGACAAGTTTTTGTTTGGTATTGATCTATGATTCTTTGATATTGTTGATTTCTGGGACATCAAATTTGATTGCCTTTTCTTAAGATCTTTTTCTATGTGTTGCTCACTCAGCTCATTATTCTTCCTGGGTTGTCTAATCAGATCCATCTGAAAAGAAAAAATTGGATTGGGGTAGACGCTTTAAAATTATAGAAGGCATTGCTCAAGGAGTACTTTATATCCACAAGTACTCTAGATTGAAAATCATTCACAGGGACCTAAAAGCAAGTAATGTTCTGTTGGATGGATCAATGAGCCCAAAAATTGCAGACTTTGGAATGGCAAGGATTTTCGGGACAAATCAAACTGAAGCAGATACTAAGAGGGTTGTTGGGACATAGTAAGTATGCATAGCACATCTTTTCATTCATGTAATAAACCTTATGCAATCACTACTCTGCTTACTCCTCTGCCTTTAATTCATGAAGCGGCTACATGTCACCGGAGTATGCACTCTATGGCCATTTCTCAGAGAAATTGGATGTATTCAGCTTTGGAGTGTTGTTGTTGGAGATTGTAAGTGGAAAGAAGAATGCTTCTTTTCGTCATTTTGAACACTCAGTAACAATTTCTGGTTGGGTAAGTACTAAAAATTCTAGAATGTGTCCTTTTCTTAAGCCTCAAGAGAATTTGCAATTAAAATAAGTGAATGGTCATGCAAGAGTGATGGGTTTATATATATGTTAAATCGTAGGCGTGGGAATTGTGGAAAGACAGTAGAGGAATGGAGGTGATTGATGAAGCGGTAAGGGAAACATGTCCTCCCCATGAAGCTTTAAGGTGTATCCATGTAGGTCTTTTGTGTGTACAAGAAGCTCCGGCTGATCGACCAACAATGTCTTCAGTAATTCTTATGCTGGCGAGTGAAGCTACATCTCTTCCACCCACCAAAGAACCTGCTTTTTCAACACATAGGAACTCCAGTGCTGCTGGTTCTTCTTCTCAAACATCTAATTACTCCAACAATTCTGTGACCATTACTATTCCAGAAGCACGATAGAGGTTATTAAAAACAAAAAAATTTGGCAAGTCCAAATTAAAAAAGAAAAGAATAACAATGTAACAGTACTGTAACAAGTACTGACAATCAGCAGTGCAAGAATTTAACAATGTCTAGAAGTCCCAATACCGCATGTTTGATGCCTTTTCTTTTGGGCCATAAGAGACATCAGTAGGTATAGATGTTAATACCAGAAGGTCGATAGCGGCTCAATATCGGGAGAGGTCCAAGTTCGAATCTCCCTTTCCGTTGCTAATACAAACAATTCTGCTGTTATAAATTTTTGAGAAAGTCACACGTGATTTAGTTTATTTACTCTAGCAACATTATCTAGAGCCCCATTTTCGACACAACTTTTGGTTCATTGGAATGGGATCTTTATAATGTGAAGGTTTGTAAAATGACGAGTCTTTGGTGAGAGCCGTGGCCTTATGACTTCTTTGGGTTCGCATGAACTGTTTCATCTAACCTAAGAGACAGCCTAGCTTCTACATTGACACGAAGGTGGAAGACATCTTTCTTCTGTTAAGAAATAATCACGTGCCCAACATATACAATCAGGTGGAGATTCCTCTTGTCTGTCTTCTCATATGTTATTATAATGTCGGTGGTCCTACACTCTCCGCTGAGTTATGGAACATATGATTCATGCTTTGGACCTAAATGGCTGAATGAGTAAAATGGCTTTGTAGAATTTGTCCCTCTACATTTCTGTTACTAATTTCATCGTGTACAAATTATAGTTTTCCACGGGCAGGAAATATTTTCTTCTTATTCCACTTCCTCTCTTGTTTCTTTGTTTCTATGAAAACGGAGATTGGGTTGTTCTTTCTTTGTCTTGTTTTGTTACTATTATCTCTTGTCTTGCCATTCCGTGCTACCTACCCACGACACTTCAGTACTAGAAAAACCTATCACTGCAAACCAGACCTAGACTTCTTCTAGTGGAACCTTTGCATTGGGCTTCTTCAGTCCTCCAAATTCTACCAGATACTTTCTTGGTATATGGTACAACACAATCCCAAACACAGAATCAATTGTATGGCTTGCTAACAAAGAATCCCCCACTTGATTCTCCGGGCGTTTTCATGCTCAGTGGTGATGGGATCTGGTGGTGTTGGATGGGGTGACAAGAAAAGTAGTTATATATGGTCATCTAGTGCGTCAGTACCGGCTTCTGCAATGAATGCCACAAGTGCTGAGCTACTGGACTGTGGAAACCTTCATCAGAGAGATGGAGAAGTTACTTTGTGGCAGAGCTTTGATCATCCTGCTGATACATTGTTGCCTGACATGAGGCTTAGCGTGAACAAAAAAACAGTCTATCAAAGGCGTCTTACATCCTGGGCAGCACTTAATGATCCACAGCCCAGAAAGTTCACCTTAGGCTTTGATCCTAAAGTAGTGCCTGGCCAGGCTTTTATCTGGAAGGAAAATGCTCCGTATTGGAGAAGTACGATCCTAATTGGCAAGGAAACACAAGCAAGTTTCGGCAATTTAAGTGGAAACTCGTATTTCTTTGCGTACAACTTTGACATTGACGAGGTTTTTCTTACTTATGGTGTGTCGGTGTCGGTCAGGTCAGTAAAATTGAGAGCCAAGTTGAACCCAACTGGGCAGATTGTGCTGCAGCAGTGGCTAGATTACAATAGAACATGGTTGGCATTGTGGACAGAGCCCGTTCATAAATGTGATTTTTATGCGCATTGTAGTTCATATGGTGCCTGTGATAAAAGTGAACCCTTCTCATCATCATCATCACCATGCAAATGTTTGATAGGTTTTAGGACCAACTAGCAAAAGGTGCCCACGCGATGCTGCGGGTTTTAAAATTGCGTGAAATGTGTATAAAGCGATGAAAATAGGCAGGGAACATCTCAACAACCCAATTGCCAAAACACTCAAAAGTATTTACCAACATGTTCAAATATTGTAATCATCTAAACCTATCATTACAACAACAAATTAACACCAATCAATTGTCAATTGATGCCATTAGCTAATTCCTATGCTCTATTCACAAAACTTAAAACAATTAATTAAAATTTCAGCCTAGAAACTCACCCCTTGCTTAACAGAACTGAAAACACAAACCAAACCGCTCTATCCAAAGCAACGAATGACCACCTGCAAAATAACAAAAGAAAACATGGTTTTAGAAAAAAAGAAGAAAAAGGAAGAAAAAATCAGAAAAATCGGAGAAGAAATTAGCTTGAATATTTTATGCATGCACAATCTTTTCATTAAACCAAAAAATTAGCTTGAGCAAAATCTGTACAGAAAGAAACCACGGGGAAAATGTATGTAATTGAGTTCATTACCTCTTCAACATTAAATATAAATCTTTGCTTCTCAAAGAATAGTAACACTGAAGGAGATGTATCCTGCGTATCCATTCCAGTCCCTAGCAGCTGCAAAGAGTAGAAGCATGGCCAAATTATTAGCCCATGAAAAGGAAAAAAACAATAGAACCAAACTCTGCATTCTGAAATTAGGATATACAAACTTTTTTAGTTTGCAATAAGTCTCCATTCAACGCAAAAATCAGCAAAAATCTGCTTGGTAAATCAAACCCACAAACAAAAAAATTATGAATTTTAACTCTTCTGAATTCTTTCTCGTCATCACTAATGTCCACAAACAGAATTCCAATTTAGAAGTCAGATTTTCAAATCCCACATATATTTCCTAAACCAGTCTTCTTCAAGTCAACTATGCTAAAACATTGCAATCAGTTCCTATAATCACACTCCCAAATTTTCTTTCCCCTACCAAAACAAAAATTATCAAATTCAGATCCCCGGTCCCATAAACCAGTATAAGAACGAATTTGAATTAAAACCCTGTAGTAAAAGAACAAACATATCTTTAAACAGAGCTATCCTAAACCCTGTAACAAAAGAACCAGCATATCCAAATACCGATTTCAGGGTTTCCCAACTAATTTTTAATAACCAAACAAAAAACCTTACCAAAAGCAATCATATAGTATTTTAATAACTAAATTGGTTAACCTGATTTCATGAAAATAATAACACAATCAAATCAATTTCAGTATTTGGATAAAATTTGCAAATCAATAACACAGACCCACTATGAGGAAAAATTAGGGATTTGGACTTTTAGGGCAGCAAATTAAAACAGGTCTCATAGTTTAATCAAATAAGATCCAAGATATTAGTAACAACAAAAATGAAAAAGAAGGGCAACAAAAATCGAATGGAAAGATGAAGCAAAATTTACTTACAGATCAGTGAGAGAAAGAGACTGAAACAGAGAGAAAGCTGGAGTTCGATCTGAAGAAGAAGACCAACACACGCCACTCCTATAAAGTCGAAGCCTCCAGATAATCGTTCGCAGCGGAGGAGAGAAAGGAAGAGAGAAGAGAGAAGAGAGAAGAAAGAGAGAGAGAGGGCTGCGATGAAGGAGAAGAGATTTTCCTTCTCTCAGGGACTCCAACGAAGAAAAGAGAACAGAGCGGGAGGGCAAAACGGACAATTCACTGTTCAAAAGTCAGCTCAAGGAAGCAGACCATCTCTTAAGTGGGGGCAAAATCATCACTTCACTATTCCTAAGCTACAGTCTAAGAACAGTGAATCGTGAACTCAGTTTTAGTATATATATAATTTCACAAACAATGGGCTACGGGGGATTGGCCCGGAGGCTGTGTTCGGGAAAAGGCATTGACATGTGATAAAGGAGAAGGGTTCTCAAAGTTTGAAAGGATGAAACTACCTGATCATTCTGTTCTGTTAGGAAATAAGAGTACGAGAGAGTGTGTATCTGAAGGTCTTATGAACTGCTCTTGCACAGCTTATGCTTATTCAAATGTGAGAGAAGGAAGTACTACGAATTGTTTGGCATGGTTCGGTGACCCTATGGATCTTGTAGATCATGGTCTGGGGCAAACTATTTATATTTGTGTTCATCACTCTAATCAAGGTATGTTAATTTGGTTTCTTTGGCTGTTTTCTCTGCATGGATGTGTCGAAGTAGGATTCTTAGACTCAACCACTCACTAATTTCACAAGATTATATTGATTAGTCAAAAGAAAAAATAAATAAACGGAGTTAGTTATTTTGGCTAGAGAGTGCCATTATTTGGATCCCACAAGATGGTTTTCTATTTTTGTCAGGTGGTAGTAAGAGTCATGCTGATAATTTCTTGAAGCAGCGGTCCAATGTAATTGCAAGAGTCTCAGGAACAGCTGGATTGCTTACAATAACCTTTGGCTATTTCTTATGGAAGAAAACTTTAGGAAATGAAGGTAGTGCTCACACACACACACACACACACACTCTCTCTCTCTCTCTCTCTCTCTCTCACATATATATGCCAGGACACATGAGACTGAAACAGGGTCCATAGGAGGAAATATGAGTGAGAGTTTAAGTAATATTAGTGCTCTATTTAAGGAGTATATTAGCTGCTACTAACAACTTCTCCGAAGCTAATAAACTGGGAGAGGGAGGATCTGGCCCTGTTTATAAGGTGAAATTTCCACTGTGTGCTCTATTTGAAAATATGCTCTTTCTTCTGTACTTTCTGTTGATAAAAGTTTTGCTAATTAATCCTGATTGCTACGATTTTTTCTTCCTCCACAGGGGATTTTGCCTGAAAATGAAGAAGTGTCCATAAAAAGGTTGTCAAAGAATTCCGGGCAAGGGTATCAGGAGTTGATGAATGAGTTGAGGCTTATAGCCAAGCTCCAACAAACCAATCTTGTTAGGCTCTTGGGTTGCTGTATTGAAGAGGAGGGGATGATATTGATCTATGAGTACATGCCCCATCGATGTTTGGACAAACATCTGTTTGGTATGTGCTCACCATTTCTGAGTTTAAATATGTGATATTGTTGATTTCTGAGACACCACATTGAATTGCCTTTCTGGTACAACAACATTATTGTTCCACCATTAAAAAAAAATTACTATATTAAACTCATTCTTCCTCATGCTTTGTGGCAATCAGATCCATCTGTAAATGCAAAATTGGATTGGGGTAACCGCTTTCGAATTATAGAAGGAATTGCTCAGGGGCTACTTTATATCCACAAGTACTCTAGATTGAAAGTCATTCGCAGGGACCTAAAAGCAAGTAATGTTCTGTAGGATGGAACAATGAACCCCAAAATTTCTGACTTTAGGATGGCAAGGATTTTTGGGATAAATCAAATTGAAGCAAATACCAACACGGTTATTGGGACATAGTAAGTATATGTATAGCACATGTTTTCATTCATGTATTAAACGATACGCAATCACTGGTCTTGCTCACTTCTCTACCATTAATTAATTCATGCAGCGGCTACATGCTACCTGATTATGCACTATATGGCCATTTTTCGGAGAAATTGAATGTGTTTACCTTTGGAGTGTCGCTCTTAGAGATTGTAAGTGGAAAGAAGAATGCTGCCTTTTATCGTTTTCAAAATTCACTGACTCTTGCTGGATGGGTAAGTATTAGAAAATCTAGTTTATATTCCTTTTTGTTTAACTGCAAGCTTCAAACATCAGTAATGTGCATGCAAGATTGATGTGTTTTATATCTTAAATCGTAGGTGAGGGAATTATAGAAAGAAGGCAGAGGAATGGAGGTGACTGATGAATCAGTAAGGGAAACCTGCTCCCTTCATGAAGCCCTGAGGTGTATCCAAGTAGGGCTTTTGTGTGTTCAAGGAGCTCCAGCTGATCGCCGAACAATGTTTTGTGTAATTCTTATGCTGGCCAATGAAGCTACATCACTTCCACCCACCAAAGAACCTGCCTGTTCAACAAATAGGAATTCTAGTGCTGTTGCTGCTGCTTCTCAAACATCTACCATTTTTGCCAACAATGTAGTCACCATCACTATGCCAGAAGCTCGATAGAGGTTCAATAATGTTTCCTTTTCTGAACGTATTAAAAATTAGATATATTGCAGAATAAAAACACTGTGACAAGTATGACAATCAATTGCCCTAATAGTTTTGTTCCAATTTGTTAGTATGAAATTTGTATTGTCATTTCCTAGACTCTAGCATAGGTTGGGAGTTAGTGTGTGAATATCGTTTACTAGACGTTTTGGCTCAACACATTCAATCTCAGGTTTCCAAAGCATGACTTGACCGATATGAGGAATCTGATTTCAGGTAAATCATGACATAATCATGCATTCATTATAGGATTCCTAGTTTGAGTTATTTTCACTCAAAGTATTTTTATCTTAATCTTATTTTTAATAAGATTAGATTTTATCTCTTGAGATTACTTTCCTAGTTCAACTCTATTTTAATTGAAGTTAAAATATTATCTTTTCCTATTGTGACTTTGCACGTTGCTTACCTCTTAGTTAATTTGGTTTAAAGAGAGGCGTCATTACTTTGAGTCCAAGGTGAATCAAATCTCTTATTGATGATAGGTTGTGGTGCAATAGGAAGTTTAATATTCGTGGCCTATTGGGTTTCTCTCCCATGAGAGAAAACAAGTCTTGTATAAAAGATCATGTGCCATTCTTTTATTTGTACAGCTTTTGAGATATTTGTTCTGAGCATATAGAATTCTAAGAAAAGCTGTTGTGCGTATATTTGAGATAAATCATCAAGTGTTCAATGTTTACTTGGTGATTTATCAAACACTTTAATCATTCATATTGCATTCATATGCATGTCGGTGACTCATACGGTTGAGGGCACCAAGACCGTGGTGGCGGTTTTCCTCCGGTGAGCTTGAAGCAATCGTGGCCAGTATTGCGTTCAACATAAGGAGTGTCGAAGATCATCCCGTGACAGAAGTTGAGTTACGAAGAAGTCGGTAAACATTATCTAGAATGTGTCTAGGATAAGTGTGTGAGTACTTCTTGTAATCATCGTTCTATAGTGGATTTGTGTTGGACTGAGGAGTCCCGTGGATTTTCCCCAGAGGTGGGGTTTTACCACGTAAAATAATTCTCTGTGTGTTCTTTTATTTTATGCCCAGCACGTTACAGGATTGATAAGCCATATCAATCCTGCTACCAAAGTTTATTTTTATTTATTTGATTAGAATCTTAAATTGGCCTATTCACCCTATTCTAGGCATTTTGAGTCATCCTGCAGGTATTCTCACAATTAGCTTTAGAAACCAGCAAAAGTTCTAAGCTCAGATTCCTAAAACCACAAATATTAAATCTCCCTATAGCCTTAACCCCATAACAAAAACAAAAAACAAAAAATTCGAGCAAACAGACCAAAAATCTTACTAAAATTGAACCACAAGCATCCCACACACACAAAAAAAAACAAACAAAAACACAAAAAACAAAAAACACCATGGTTTCAGAAACTCCAAAACCCATCTACAAATTTTAGTTTTCTTTTCTTTTCTTTTGGATAAATAAGAAAACCCACATACAAAATTTTTCAAATGGTTCACAAGACAGAGTAAATGCAAAGAAACATAGAAAAGTAAGATGAGAGGAATTATACTTTGACTTGAGTGAGTGATACGGCAAAGAAGAGTCAACCTGGATTTTTTTTTCCTCTTGAGCTTCTATCTACAGAGAAGCAAGACAAAGAAGAAGAAAAGTGTAAATTTGTCCTGTCATTTTACAAATGGATAAATTTGTCTTTAAAAATTTAAAAATAAGGTGTGTGGAAAAATAATATAGATTGGTGGAAATAGCAGCACTCTTTTTGCCATGAATTTTGTATTATGATTTATTGATATAATTTTGACGTGTGCGTTATGCTGTAATTTTGACAAATTGGCTTTTAGGAAAAGTGACGTAGCATTAAATGAGTGGTTGAAGTTGAAGACATTTTGGTCTTTATTTTGTTTCTACCGACATAGGTGTACGAAGGTTGAATAAGCAGCCAACAATATGTAGCAGCAGCTGGTCCATATGATGTGTGGAGCATGCAAGAGTGAAAGACAGGCTTGACTTGGGAGAAAGACCCAGAGGAAAGCAAGAGAGTACAGAACTCTTGTGAGAGATGAGGTCTTAGGAAATACTGTGAGTGGGCGTACAGGGGTTTGGAGTTTGGCTATGTTGATTTAATTCCAATGTATCTTGTGTTGTTATTATTCTTATAGTGAAGTACTCTATTCGGAAACGTAGGCATGATTTTGCCGAACCTCATTAATCTTTGTTCCTTGTTTATTTTACGTCGCTCAATTGTGGTTGGCTTTGTGGTGTTATTATTTCTGAATCTCGGCATAGCACGGTGATAAAGCACAACGGGTGGTCTCACTCATACTTTGGACCTGAGTGGCTTGGGAAATAGTAGATCTGGAGATAATGGTAATCGCCTCAGCTCCTGTTGTCCCAACAAATTTCTAGTAAATTTGATACATTAATTTCGGCATAATAATTGATGCAATTCAGGTGCTTTAGAGAAACATGCTGCCTATTTTGAATGGAAGAAACGCAATTATGGTGCGAACTTTCATTAGTTTTAGTAAGCAAGGATTATAGTTAGCTACTTTTTTAGTTTTGAGGCAAGAACAAATTTTTTCTTCTTTTTTCTTTGTCTCTTCATCGCTGAATGGAGTGGCTCAATCTTCGTCTTGCTTTGCTACTTCTATCTCTTGTCTTGCCAATTTGTATCAGCCAAGACAATTTAGGACCAGGAAAATCTATCATT